AGTGTTAAAAAGGAAGATGAATAATTTTTGAGTTGGGCATCTCGAGGAAGGTCAATATAGGGTTAAAAGCATGGGTCCTAGAGGCTGGAAGCTGCTGATGTGCTAATCTAAAGTCGGGAATAAAGAGAGAAAGAGGACTACAGACAGCCAGATATTCAACAGAAGAGCCGGCAAGGAGGTCTGTCCGGGTGGCAGTGGTGGTGCACAGCCTGCAGGGATCCAGCCTGGAGCAGTGTGGAGAGCTCTGGCCGGCAGACAGGGCTCCTGGGAAAACCGAATTGATAGATTATGTGACAAGGCTGATTATGCGGGAAAAGAATTATGACAGGCAGAAGGGCAAATGGAGAAAATTGAAGATTAGATACACAGCTAACCATGTAAATAGAACATAACATCTAAGACTCAATACATGTTAGGTGCTGTTCTAAGTGCTTTCATATGTATATCATTTATTAATCTCTGTCATTTTATAAAAGAGGAAATAGAAGTGCAGAGAGATGAAGTCACATCCTCAAAAATCACAGACCTAAAAAGTGGCAAAGCAAAGATCTGATCCCAGGGTCTGACTCCAGAGTCCCTACCCCTAACCACTAGAATATACTGCCTCTCCAGGAGAAAGGGATGGGATTGAAGAATAAAAAATTGTTAAGAAAGAAATGCTATCATTATGATGGGGGAACTCAAGAGTTGGAAAATTTTAGTTTTAAGTTATAGTTAATAAGCTTAGTAATGAATGTATGTAAAAAACTATTGTACCAGGAACTGATGATATAACCCACCCTGACGCCAGGAGACCACAAGCAATTCCACCTTTGTGCCCCAGGAGGACAGCAAGCAATCATGATGGATGTCTGAGCCACTGTGACCCAGGGAGAGACATCACAGAACAGAGGACACAGATAAAGAATCACTGGTCAAGAGATGAAAGGACGCTAGGTAATTTGCCGGACTGCAGCTTTTATCTGATTAACATTTTTTCCTGAGTTCCAAATCCCTTACCTAAACCTACTTTCCCCCTGAAATCCAAACTGCTTACCTACACACTTTTTGCTTTTATATAAAAAAGGCTGGCTTGAAAGGAAATGTAAGATGGTACAAAACTGTCTTTTAGGGTACAAAACCCTCCGACTTCTCAGACTGCCGCCAGTCATCTGAATAAAACATCCAGAAAGATTCAACCCATCTCTATTTATTGGGTCTGGTGGAGACATGCGGCTCGAAGGCCGACTTTTCCAGTTTCAGTTATACACTACGTGGTCATGCAATAAATAATTTACTAGCCATAATTACATAAACGTTGGCTGTTTTATGAAAACTGTGATATAGATTGGCAAGATGGCAGACGGGAGTGCTCAGTGGGATAAGCTTTCAGCCCACATGGAACATAACATAAAAGATAATACACAGTAAATATATAGTCATAAGATTAGGAAAGAACAGTAGAAGAATACAATTTGAAAATATGAAAGAAAAACTGAAAAAATAATTGATAATGTTGCTTCTGGGGAGGCGCTGTAAGGTAGGTTGTGGAGAAGGGGTATGCTATTTTTCACTTAATATTTTGCAAAGTTTTTAATACTGAAAAAACATTGTGTATGTGTTAATTTGATAGAAATAAAGGAGAATTCAGGTATCAGCAGGAGTGGAGTGGGGGCACTATACGGCTCTGATTATTTTTTGCCTGGGCCCAAATTTATAGCTATTTGTTTCTAAATGAATACTTTGTTATTTATTTGTAATTGAAATTAAACTTTCACTACTAGATTGAGGTCTCTGGAGACCTCATAAGTGAATACTAGAGAAATTTCTTCTTTTATATTTAAAAACCAACAGAACACACCACTAGGCTTTTTTCAAGGTTGAGGTTTTAGGAAAGTAGAATAATTAATTTTATTTGCTTTTAAGCCATTCTTGAACTGGAAATTAAATTTGTAATGAAGTTTTCTAAATTCATTAAAGGTAAAAATAAAGTGGGTATCTATGGTTATGTTCTTTTCTTTAACAACATATGTATACCATTGTTGTTTTTCGTTTAGGGTGTGGTGTTTTTAAATTCAACATTGATCCCTGGCTGGTGTGGCTCAGTGGACTGAGAGTGCTGGCCTGTAAACCAGAGGGTCGCCGGTTTGATTCCCAGTCAGAGCACGTGCCTGGGTTGCAGGCCAGGTCCCCAGTAGGCGGTGCATGAGAAGCAACCACACATTGATGTTTCACTCTCTCTCTTTCTCCCTCCCTCCCCCTCTCTAAAACTGAATAACTAAAATCTTCAAAATAAATAAATAAATTCAACATTGAACTCTCCTTCCCAAAAAAGGAAAAACCAAAAATGTCTTCAAATTCAGGAGGGGAAATAGCAAATTATAAGATAGTTATTTCTAGTATGTCATATATATGTATATAATTATATTGTATAAAAGGAGCTAATTCAGTTAATTTAGGAAAATTTTTGTGGGGGAAATATTTCACAGGATCTGCCAAGAGCTACAGTCCTATTAAAATAGGTCTATTACTGCTTGTTCTTGAAAAATCCATATCAAAAGAGATGGATTGAGAAACTACCTATATGCGTGCAATAGTCTTACTTGAAAAAGTCTGCAGAGTACTTAAGATTAAGGTGCAATCGTTTTATGTTACATTTGTTGACAATTCTTGTTAACCTACCAAAGATGCAACGGATGAGCCAGGAAGGTGGTTGAACCTCCAGACAAGGCCACATTCCTTTGAAATCTTGCAGCAGGGAGGAGGGAATCAACCTTTAGATTATTTAACATCTTTTGAACTTGCTTATTAATACCAGCCTGGGCTAGTAATTTAGTCATGCTTAACAAGGCAGGCCTTGTACTGCGTGGCTTGTAGGGGTGAGTTAATGTAATCTTTGGAGAATGTATTATCAGCTCCCTTTTGCAGATGATAAAATAGAGGCTCAGAGGTCACCCAGCCAGTCCTTAGTAGAGTTAAAATTTGCAAGTTCCTGGCTCTAAAAGCTCAGGCTTCCATTACTGCTTTTTTTTTTTTTTATAACTTAGGGCACAGTCTACAAATCCCCAGGTTTTTAAGACTTGTGTTCTGTTTCTCTGCAAGGCTGACATTGATATAGGCACAGAATTCTCCCACATTGGGATTGATTTGGCCAACAGAGCCCAGGATTCAGGGCAGCAGGCCTGAATCCTGCCACCAGCTCTGCCTCTAGCTCAGTGTTCTCTACCTTCCTGAACCCCAGTTCCTTAGTCAAAGGCTAAAAAGCTTCCCAGTCCCAGCCTGCTTAAACATTTGTAGATTTCATAACTTCCCTTTCCAGGAAGCTGCCTGGCCCTTTTCACAGGGTGGAAACTTTCCTGTCCAGTTAGTCCCCAGGTAGGAGTTAGGCCAAAGTGGCTGCTGCAGCCAACAATGGAGCTCACCGAAGTCCTGGTGGGATCTTTGACTTTTCATGTCACAGGCTGCCACAACCGCAGGTTGCTACACTGGCTTGATACTATTTATTCTGTTTAAAATTTTTTTTAAATGGAATTAGTATTAAAAAATTTTTTTAGAACCAACTCTTCATTACTGCCTATGGCTCTGACTAGGGCTTGCTCCACTATCTCTCTTCTTCTAATCGCCTTTCCTTAGCCTCTACCTCCTAAACTGCCCAACCAGTCACTGCCTTGCCAAAGCCTTTGTCTGAAAGCCACTCAAGGTCAAGCCTTGAGCCATGTGCCAAGGAATCAAACAGGTGGATTCCAGTCTCAGTTTTGCTCCTTCAGCTTTGCTGTGAAGCTATGGGCAACTTATTCGACCTATCTGGGCTTCAGTTGCCTTAATTCTAAAATGGGTACAGGGATGCTGATTTTAAAAGCGTTGGAAAGGATAAGGGTCTCATGGTTTGGGTGGTTCTTTACTGAATGCTCTTCTTGTTAAATGTTAAAACATAGCACAGTGTTTTCAGGAGGCAGCTGTAACAGGATGAGCTAGACAGGAACCCAACCCCAGAAGTGCAACCAACTGCAATGAAGAAATCAACATGTGATTAACCAAATAGTGTAAATAAGCAAAGGCTAAGCCTCCCTTTGGGGAGACAAAGCAGATAGAGCTTTGGATGTTAATTCCCTGTCTCCTCTACTTGCTCAAGTAAATAAAACTACCTAACCACAACCATGTCTAGTTCTTGAACACCTCAAGTAGCCAACTCAAGGGGTTTGGCAACAAAAAGGATTGGGGTAAAGTTCCTTCTAACAGAAATTCTTCTTCTTGGGGGAAGTGGCTGTAAGGAGAGCATATTTGCATAGGGAGAAAAACTACCGGCACGCTCTCCGCTGAGTGTAAGGGAATTAGTAGCGACCCTGTTTTTTAGTGAGGTAGGATGAGAAAAAGAAGTGCAAACTGAGTGCCTGGGCCGGGATGCGCTCTCGGGCTCATAGGGGAGGAGAGGCTGGAAAATAGATTAATCGAGGGACAGGAGCAAAGGGCTGTCACCAGATTCCCCAAAATGCCTCGGAAATCAGGGCAGAACAGCCTGGTGCACAGGGATCCAAGGAAGCTTGGACAGAGGGGACTTTCCCAAAAGCTGGTAAGCTTTCCTGGCAGATGTGGAAGGGAAAGAGATTAGACAGGGATCCCGTAGATATCCCTGCAGAACGAGGCAGAGCGCAGACCAGCACCCGACGGTCCCCACTGCGCCGGCTGAGTACAGGACACTCGAGAATCACTCCACTAGAGGCTCCAAGCTTTATTGGATTCGGCAACCCGCATTTTCGCCGGAGCCAGGGAACAGGGGCGCACAGCCAAGCCTGCGCAGGAGCCTGGGAGAGTCGGGCCGGCCCTTCACTGGGCGGCCTTCGAAGCCCGGTGCCGCACCGGGAAGTGATCGCAGCTCGCAGCTGCCTGACGCCAGCGGAAGTACTAGCTTAGGGCGAGCCTGCTCCGCCGCCTGGCGCCCAGGAAAGGGGCGTGCGCGGGGTGGGGCTGAGGGCGGGCACGAATGGAGGGCGGGGCGGGGCCTGGGGCGGCGGGGTGGGTTTGGCTAGGGTTGTTTTCGCCCCGGCTGTAGTACCTGGCGCTCAGCTGCGGCTGCCTGTAGTGGTGGTTGGAGCTGGTGCAGGGAGAGGCGCTCGAGGCGGTAGGGAGCAAGGCGAGTCGGAGGGGAGCTGGGAGCAAGCGAGCGCGCCAGTGGTCCTCGGCTGCCGCGATGTCAGCACAGTGCTGTGCGGGCCAGGTGAGCGAGGCTGGGTGCCACGCGGGGAGCGACGGATTGAGCGACGCGTCTGCGAGCCCAGGCACCGTGCGGGCTTCCCCGGGTGTGCTCTCCAGCTCCCCAGTCCAAAGTGGTGCGGGTGGGTGGGTCGCTTGGGGCAGATCCCGCGCGGTCTGCGTTACTGCCTCGGGCCTGAACGCAGCGCTGGGCAGTTGGGGAACTCCAATGCCGCAGGGGAGCGGGAAGGGACATGGGGAAGCCCGAGAGGCTACCCCGAGGTTTTCCCGTCCGGCCTTAAGGACTTCGCTGGGGCAGGGTGGGCAGGACTTGGGCGGAAGATCCCGATTACTCCTGGATCCTGTCATCTCCCAGGGCACGAATAGGTGGTGCTGAGCTCTGTAGCCCGTCAGGCTCTGCCCACCGAATGAACCCAGGAAGAGACGTGGGTTTAGGCAACATCTACTCTCCCGTGCCCTGAACAAAACTCGGGTCATGTGGCCCAAGCAGGTTGCGCTTGGCATCTTGCAAGGCTAGAGCATTGGCTCTGAATCTTCCGGAACGTGTCGAAGCCTGGCTTCCAAATTACAGTGCTCAGGTCTGGGCGTAGGGAAGACAGCCCTACTTCCTGCGTTTCCCGACCCAACACTGGCAGGGCAGAAACACGGCTGCCTGGGTAGTGAGGGAGCCTCCGTATCCCCGGTTTAAACAACTTGCCCGAACCTGTTTTGCAACCCTTGCCTGTTAAAACTCATGGTGTCTTAAAACATATACGTGCATTAGGAATAAGCGTCTCCTACCGGTGAGTAGTGCATCAAGGCAGAATTAGGTTTTAACCCTTTAATGCTAGTTTCTCCTTCCTGCAAATTTAGGAAAAAAACGAGATACTGTAGGTAAAGCCTTCCAGACGTCCACCTCCCTCCTTCCTGTTATACTAATTATCAGCATGGTGTGTTCTCACAAATGAATCTAACAACGGGGGCATTCAGGATCGGAGGTGTTCTTGCTTCCTTATACATTCAGCCTTTGACACCCGAGGCCAGCTCCTAAATGATGTAGAGGTTAAATTGTTAGAGGCTCCTGAAACTTTAGGATTATACTGGCTGATAATCGACAGAGATAATCCGACCCTCTTGGAGTGGCTATTTGCAGTTATTGCTTCATGTTTGACGTCTCATACTGTACTTGGCATGCTTTCAGTCTGGCCTTTTCAGAGATGAGGAAATTGAGGTTTTTAACTTGAGGTGTAGTAACTTGCTTGGAGCAAGGCAAAAAGAGGGAGGATGCTTACCACATTTCCAGGGCTTTGGAGACCGATTTGGGCCCGGAAGAGCTATTTTCTGAATGTTCTAAATCTCACAGTTTCACAAATCTTTTATTGTTGTTGTTTTGAGATACTTTTTAATTTGATGCAGCACTTTTTATTAATAGTAATTACAATACAGATATTTCAGGGCATCTCCTCCAGTTCTTTGAAAGTCCCTTGAAGCTTTCTGTCACTCCAAATAACTAATTTAGGACTCTGAAATTATCACCAGTACTCAAGTGGGTCTTGTAAAAGAATTATTGGTATAGCTGATATTTTGGTAGAATTTAATGACTTGTTTCTAAAACGCCCCTCTTAGAACTTTGGAAAGAACCCAATCCTGGCCATTCGTCACAGAAAATTTAACTTCTGCTTTTTGGAACTGCTTGAGACATCATTGCAGTGGGTCTCAACGCAGTGAGTGGGTGATGACGCTATGACTTCACATGGAGGGGCTGTTAAGCTCGCATTAAAACAACTCAGAGACCAGCAGAAGCTCTCTAAGCCTTTTTTGTTTGCTTGAGCACCTATGAACTGCTCTTTACTCACAGCACTTCTGACATCGAATGTATGGGGTACCACCCCCAACCCCAGCCAACCAGTTATGCAACTTGGGACACCAACTGAATGTCCAGCTATTCAGTTCAATTCTAACACTAACCTCCTGGAGTTAGGAGTTAGTATTCCACAGCTGAAGGGCTTAGTGCCACAGGACTGGACCCTTCCACTCCCCTACTCCCATTTAGCCACCATTCACAAGTCCTGGTCCTCTCATATGGGGGATGAAGATCAACTATACTTTCTTTTATATCACAGTATGACAGCACCAACTATGTGCCAGGAGCTGGAGATACAGCAGTGAGCTAGGTGAACATCATCTGTGCCCCCAGGGGTCATTCCAGTTCCTGGGGGTTGGGAGGTGTGGGTACCAGAGATTCTGTTTTTGGCCCAAGCAGCTGCATAGGTGATGGTGCTGTTTATTGAGGTGAGGTAGGAGGCTGGTAGGAGAGAGGACACTTGGCAAGGAAAATCCTTAGTTTACTTTTGGCTTTGCTATATTTGAGATGTCTATTAAAAATTAAATATCCAAGTCACCAGTTGGCTATTTAACTTGGGAGAAGTTTGAGTTTGGACTTAGAAATTTTGGGGACTTTGAGGATTATCAGGAACAGTATATAACTCAGAAAAGAGCCTGGGCTTTGGACTCAGGTCTGGGTTTGATTTGGGAAGTTTGGACAATGAGGGCTGATGTGGCTGCACATAGTACTTACTCTCTGTTAACCTCAGTTTTTCCCAACTGTAGAATGGGTGTGATAATACTTCCTATGGTTATGAAGATCACATGTGATAGCAGAAATATCTAGTGCAGGGTTTGGCACAGAGTAAGGAACTCCCCACATCTTAGTGTGTCAGTGGCCATTAACCATCTGTACCTGGACAGTCTTGAGGTCATCTTATTTTACATTTTCATCTTATTTTATTTTGCACTCACTGCGATATACACTTAGGTTTTGATTAGGCTTTTGGCTGGTGGATGCTAATGGAAGCAGAACATAGAGGAGAGAGGTCAGTTAACACCTTGTGGGTACCCAGCACTGTGGGAGGCCTCTGGGAACTGGATGTTGAGCCAAGGCCTTCCTTGCTCTCTTAGAATATAGGGGTAATTAGGGGATGGAAGAGTGGGGGAAGCTAGCTACAAAAAAAAAAAAAAAAAATGACAGTACATACTGTCAGAGGAAATGAGAGGTATAATAAAGCTTGGCAGAGTGTACTCCAGGTAAATGTAAGCAGTAATGATAATAGAAACAATAGCTTAAGTTTATTTCATGCCTTCATTGTGCTGTCTGTGTTTATCTACATTATATCATTGTATCATCCTTTCTTCACTACAAAGCTATGGGGTGGGTAACGTTCTTTTCTTTTTCTTTTTTTAAATTGACTTTTTTTAAAAATTGCTTTTAGGGAGAAAGAGAGAAACATCCAATTTGTTGTTCCACTTAGTTAAGCATTCATTGGCTGATTCTTGTATGTGCCTTTGGGGATCGAAACTGCAACCTTAGTTTATTGGGATGAGGCTCTAACCAACCTAGCCAGGACTCTGGGTTGGGTAATATTCTGATTGGCCTCCTTTTGTAGGTGAGGCAACTGAAGTACAAGTAGGTAAATTAACTTGACTGATTTTTGGTGGTGGAGCCAAGCCTTGACCACTTGTCCACCTGACTTGAGTTGGGGTACTTGACTATTCTGATTATTATTTACAGTATGAGTAAATGATAATGCGTAAGAGTTGTTCATTGTTGCTTATAGTGGACCTAAGTCAGTTATTTTTTTAAAGATTTTTTAAAATCCTCATCTGAGAATATGCTTACTAATTTTAGAGAGAGGGAGGGAGGGAGTGGAGGGGGAGGAGGGAGAGAAACATCAATCCATTGCCTCCCCTACATGCCCTGACCAGGGATCAAACCCACAACCTAGGTATGTGCCATGACTAGGGATTGAACCCACAACCTTTGGGTATATAAGACCATGTTCCAACCAGCTGAACTGCCCAGCCAGGGCTGGACCTAAGTCAGTTTTGAATACATGTTATTAGGCTGTTCTGTTAGATATTGGTGGTTGCCAGTAGTTATGGGTGAATGAAGTTTAGCTTTTTCCTCATCACCTGCTCCAGGTTATAAAGAAAGCAAGTCTCAGGCCAAATTCTGCCACACATGCAAACATGATTGGCAGGAAGCAGCCTGACCTGAGACTTCATTAAGCTCCAGCTCTTTGCCCTTCTTGGTGCATGGACCCACAACTTGCATGTTCACCTGACGCAGTTTGGATCAACATTCTATTAGTTGGTAGAACCTGACTGAGACCGCCAAACCAGCAGGACTACATGGATGGATTGAGTCCATGGTGCCATTCTTGAAGTGAAGGCTCACCCTGCCCTTATAGCCAGTTCATGTAAGGGCAGGAATGCCCAGGCCAAGGTATTTCCAGCTGGATCATATTACTTGATCACCAAGATTATCCCCAGTGAAAGCCCACTTCTAATGTCTGTTATGTTAATTTACAAAGCTATGAATGCCACTTGGGACTATCCATTGTCAAAGATAAATAAAGCCAGGCATTAGTTAAAGCACTGAAAACAGATTTTACTCAGCAACCACTGATAGTAGGGGGAAAAGCCTTGCTTTATTTTGATCTACACGATGGTGACTGAGAGTTTTAAAGAGAGAACGAGGGAGTATGGAGGACAAGCTGTGGGGGCCCAACTAGCGTGAGGGAAGTGTGAAGTTGCAGAGGGTTGGTCAGTGGACATTTCATTAGGCCAGCTGCGTCTGCTAGCTGGCAAGTTAGGGTTCTCCCCTTCCACACAGACTGGGAGACAGGGCTCTTGATTACATTTCAAAGGAATGGCTTTTGGGTCCTGGAGAAAGACACTCCTGCTTTGTAGGAAATACATTTAGTACCTGTCAAAAAGATAGGGACGGATTCACAGTTGTAGGACCCTTTGGATAAATGCTCTAAGAAATGGAGGCCTATCTCATGTGTTGACTAGAACAGACAGTAAATTTCTTTTGACAATCCTGAATTTTTCCAGACAAGAACCCGAAGACAAAAAAGATGGCTGGGTTATCATCCCAAGAATGCAGCTTTGGGCTGCTAGAGGCCATGTGAAAATCTGGTCAAGTCTCTTTATGCAGGGGTTTGGGCAGAGTTGCTCTGTGCC